CGCTCCCTGGTAGAATTCAGAGTGTTTTGGGCAAATGTCAATCTTGCTTGGAGATATAGCCCAAACTTTCTAATACACCTTTTGCACCCAATAACACCACTAATAATGTTTCCTCTAGACATGATCCACTACAATTCCATTGAGTATGAGGGGGTTCTTTGTTTTAAAATCGAGACTTTAGAAATCATTCTAAGGAAATGGTTTTAAATCTTTCGCTCTACCCATATGCTTGGAAAACATATAGGACAGGAGTTAAAACTTTGAGGAAGATACAAGGAGGTACCTTGGGAAATAGAGTAACCAGATGGTTGCTCTTGAGTGTCTGATGTTGGAAGCACACCCTGGGGAGCTCTGTAAAAACAGTGGGCTGTTAAGAAATATTCATAGCCAGGCCATTTCTCTGTTTGCTCCATATTTATGTTGTACATATCTGAGTGTGTCTGACACTGGGGACTTTTTAGACAAAAAATAGTGACCTCTCAGGATAACAGTGCCACTTTTTCTCTGAGAACTAGTCAGTCATGGGACTATTTGTCCAGCCAGTTCCATGGGGAAAAAAAAAAAAAAAGTAGTAAAGTGAGAGACTATAACTAGCATATAGAATTGCCTATGGAATAACTCTGACTTCATTGTTCATGAGATCTTTGGGCCAATAACTAATCATACAGTGTTGAGAGATGGTATGATGTGTTTATGTTTAACTACTCAGGACCCTAAAAGGAGAAGGCTCTTATTTGTATTACTAGTAGATCAGGCAGGGAGGAATAGATAACAGACTGATAAAGCAAAAGAGTTGGCTGCAGCCACATAGTACCTCCCTGATCAGCTGTGATAAGAAAAATATTTAAACAAAGCATATAAAAGTTTAACTGGAGTTCAGTGCATTTAATTGGATTTAAATACCTTTTAAGTTTTGACAGGGAGACCATTAACATTAGGTTTTAAATCTTATTGATCTTTAAAAGCTGAAAAAAAAGTATAGCAAGCAACTCAACATTTTACTCTAAATTACATGAAATGAAAACATAAAAATGCTATTTTTGCCCATTTATCTTTGATTGCTTGTTGGCTTTCCAAACACAAGAATTGTTTTCTTTCCATTGATGACTAAAGAGTGGGGATAGAGAAGCACCAACCCGTACTTGCACATGTTTATAGAACAGACCTGTCATCAGGGCTTTCAGCCCACAGACCCATAGTTGCTGATAAAATGTCTATCATTCCTCTGCAAATTCATGCACATATAGATTCTCCATCAGAACTTCCATAGTCCACCATTATCCTTTAAAATCTCTTATCATTGGCAAGTTAACTGTTCAGCAAAGAAAAACTTTTAACTCACTCTGAATAGAATTTTCATCTAAATATAATTCATCCAAATATTCTTAGGAAACTCCATTCTTCTATGTGATAATGCATGTTCTAATATTAATGAGAAACTGAGAAAACATGCTTCTTCCCTTCATTCATTCAACAACAGTTTTTGAGAACCTACCGTGTGGCAGACAGTGTGGATACACAGTGACAACTCAAGTCATGGTCCCTACCCTCATGATGTTTACAGCCTAGCAGGAGAAATAAATATTAAAAATGATGTTCAAACAATCAACACATTGCAATTATGTAAAAACCAAGGAGAAGCAAAGGGTTCAACAGCAAAATCCCACTGCTAACGAATAAAGTCCCAACTCTTCATATGGCAAGCACAGTTCTTTACAGTCTGGCCTTAATTAATTTATCTTCTACATAGTATAATCTTTCATACTAGATTACCCACTACTGTGAAATCTGCCAAGCTCTCTCACTTTTTTGCCTTTGCTTATGTGGTAGAAGGTTTTTCTACGTCGCCACTTACAAAGCCCTTCTCAACCATCAGGGGCCACAAAACCAAAACTGCCTCCTATACAAACCTTTATTACTGCATTGAAACCCATTTTGGCTCTGATCTCTAAACTCTCATAAGTCTTTTCTTGTACCAACATTTGTAGTCCTTCTTTTAGTTTTTCAACAACTATTTATTGAGCTCCTAATTTACAGCACATTTGCTACTAGATGCTGATTATATTTATACTGCTATGTATTGGGTACATATTCCCTCTGCCTCAAAAATTATAAATTGTAAGCTCATTATTCATCTCTGTGTCTCCCATCAGTGCTCAGAACATAGTAGCTGTACAATAAATGTTTGCTCTATTGAATCGGATTTTCCTCATACAGACAGTACTATGACAGTAAGATTTTTATAGAAATTAGTTTCCATCTGAAAGATTATACGTCCTTAGATGCGTATATACTCTATTTTTAAAAGATGATATCTGCTAGCAGTATACCTAACAATAGATCTTATTTAAAATTTTAAATGTATGACAAATAGAATAGAATTTTTAAAAAGTATTTAACTATTATAGTCAATTCTCACTGAAGAAACTACACATGCTACCTAATAACTTTTTAATTTATCACCTAAATATACTTGATGTTCCCATGGTATGCCTTACCCCTCCCTCCCCCTTTTTTTAATAATATTTACCTAGTCATCATCTTTATATTCTTACAGAGGTGATTTAGGAATTTTTTTTCCTTAAGGTGATAGAGCCAGGGGAGTACTTATATGCAGTGAAAAGATCAATCATGTTAACTGCAAATAAATGCACAATCAATTAGATTGACCATTCATTTGTCTAAACTGGTCTCAAAGCTGACTTGAAGAATGACTGATTATGCTACTGTTCAGTTATTTCAGTCGCATAAATCAGTTCTGAGTTTTCAAGTGCAATTGGAGGGTTGATTTTTTTGTTGTTGCTTCTTCTCCAAAATATTTTGACTATCTTACTTTCCTGGAGTTTGCATTTCAAACAGATTTTCTGCTTCACAGATTTAGATTTGTCCTTAAATCCAAGTGGGGAAGTGACCAAGCAGATCGGCGATGCCCTGCCTGTGTCATGCACGATATCTGCTAGTAGGAACGCAACTGTGGTATGGATGAAAGTAAGTAATATTCTTTGATGGTATTCTACTGTTTGAACTGATTCCTCTTAGGCTTCTTTCTCATTTTATATTATACTCAAATGTGTACATCCATGGGTAATGTGTTTATGCACCCACATTCATACTCTTTCTCTATATATAATAATACAAATCATGTCACAATCAAATTTTAGAGGTACTCACCAATAATATGCCATCTATAATTGATGCTCTGAAACTTAATTAGGGTGGCATTAATTTGATTTAGTTATGTGTATATATTAATTGTACTCATACCCACATGCTCATGGACACACATATGTAGAGCTATATACTTTATGGCTTAACAATTTATGATGTGTTTTAACCCACATTATTTTCACATGACAGTTACAACAATCCTGTGAAATATGTAGGCCATTTATTATTTCCTCGTGTTATTCATAAAGAGATTGAGGTGCGAGAAATCAGAAAACTCATAAAGCTACAGAGTAGAGACTCCAGCTCAAGCCTTACTGAGTGTAAATACTGTACTCTGGTCACATAAATTTCTGTCTCTCTGCTGAAACTTGTCTTATGTGTCTGAAAGTGGGTTCCACTGAATTAGTCGCTTCCTGTAGGTACATATCTCTTTTCACCCCTGGGCTATAGTAGAACACCTAGAACATAGTAGGAGCTTAGCCAGTACTTCCTGAGTGAGTGCATATGTATTCTTGTAATTTTCTGAAATGTAGGCCATTACCTGGGGGACCCAATCATTGCTACTTATTTTTAGAGTGAGAAAGTAGAATTGGTAATTTAGGATTTGAGACAAGGTAAATACCAAAGGAAATGGTTGTAATTATGTTCCCTCCACTCAGTACATCTAAACACTCAGTGCGTTTTTTACCAGAGCATGGCATATAACAGGAGCACTTAACTAGTAATGTGTTGACAAAACACATATGAAGCATTAGAAATAGGGGTTGGCAAGTATTATCTTTATTAAAAATTTGTGGGGAAATGTATTCTTAGAGTTTCTTCTTGATGACAATATAATCTATTTTGTATTGCTCTTTAACATCTTTTAACGCTAAATCCTCTGTTACTTGTTCTCTTACTCTTAAAGCTCATTTTCTTATTTCACTTCGTTTTAACCACAGCCTCATCACAACTTTTTGTTAACTCAGATAAATTAAAATGTTACTCCATAGACTGCATATTCAACACAAGATATTTATAGTAGTTTATAGTCAAAGGGCTAGATAAATTCTAGGCAATTAGACTACTCAGTAATATTATGAACACTCATAAAGTGTTTTACTACAGGACTAAAAAAACTAGCTTACTTGGCTAAACCAGTTTCTATGTGAACTGCAGTCATTGCTGTTCATTGACTACCTAATGTCAGTGATGCTCATCAATATTGCCTGGCCATTAGTTAGTCGATGGGAATGGAAAACAATTCATAGTGGACAAAGACTACACATTCTTAGGATTATGTTTAGTTGTCTGCTTAGGAGCATATCAATTCCTGGTAAAGTAGCATCATTTTCTGTATACCAAATGATTTTTTAAAATTAAATGTTCTAATTCCTTTGTTCATAGAAATTAGAATAGCAAGCTGTTATTAAGGGTTTCTTAAAAAAGCATTTTGTCATAATTGTCATGGCTCATAAGTTGTCATGGATTCCCTGTCTTGATAACTGGATCCTATAAAATGACTTTCAGGCATCTATACTCATCAATGATTATATAGCACAAGTCTGTCAATGCTAGTTCATCTATATCTACATTCATTATAAGGAGTAGTTACTACGGATTGAGAACTCTTAGTGTAAACACATTATATTATTTATATAATTAAGTCCTCATAACAATTCAATATGGTAAGATTATTACCTCATTTTATAAATAAGGAAACTGAGTCTGAGAAATTTAGGAACTTGTTCCAAATTATAAATTTAGTAAACAAGAGCCTGAAATAAAACTGACATGTCTGACTCTAAAACTACAAAGAAAAAATGAAATTTATTTTTGAAAGCATCTAAAGTTAAGAAAAAGAAGCTTGCATTTTCATTAAACCCGGAAGAATAATTTAGACTTAATTATTATCTAATAAATACATTGAGAGTTATTATTGTACCATGTGAAGTAATTAACTTTTTATTTAATCAGGATAACACCAGGCTTAAATCTAGCCCATCATTTTCTAGTCTTCACTACCAAGATGCTGGAAACTATGTCTGTGAAACTGCTCTGCAAGAGGTAGAAGGACTAAAGAAAAGAGAGTCATTGACTCTCATTGTAGAAGGTAATTAAATACTTGAGCACCAATTTAAATTGTTCTTTGAGAATTTGATATCTGGTTGCTTTTATGACCTCAGTTCAACATCTTATTTTAATTTTAATAATACTTTAGGAAAACCTCAAATCAAAATGACAAAGAAAACTGATCCCAGTGGACTGTCTAAAACCATAATCTGCCATGTGGAAGGATTTCCGAAGCCAGCTATACAGTGGACAATTACTGGTAGTGGAAGTGTCATAAACCAAGCAAGTATTTGTCTTCTTGTTCTATGCTGCACTTGGTCCAATGTGGAGTTTTATTTAGATACATAAACTATGGGCTAGCTAGTTACTAATATAAAAATTTGCTTTATATTCTCGGAGAAAGCTTTTGCTAAATTCTTAATTTTCCCAAAGGCATAACATGGCTCAAAGAGAAATTTTAAAACCCATGGCCACGAAGAATGGAAGAATCATTATGTTGTGGTCAGTGTCTATTTTTAAAAAAATGTAAATTGAGTGTTGTTCCATGGTCATTAATTCCTGAAACTTGGGTAATTAAAACATTAAGGTATGCACTTTTCTGCATCATAAATTTATACATCTGAGTAATAAGTGGCCTACATTACTTTGCTTACTTATGCACACTAAAAGATATTTTTTCTTAAAACTGGGCCCTGGAGTGTGGTGAAGAACACATTCACTATTTCTGAACATATGGACTGATTTGCATATGCCAGGGCTGGGGCCAGAATAAGGCTAGCTAAATATATGGCTATTAGGGTGCTTCCTTCTAAACAAAAGTAGACATAAACCAAATCTTAATATTTGTACCTTTATCAGGACATTTTAGTAATAACAAAGGGCTAAGAACTTAAGAACACTACCAGTAATTTTCTCTTTTCTTTGATTAAAAAAAAAAAAAGAAAAGAAATGATACTATGGCCTGTTACTAGGGGTTTAGAGCTATAATCCCATTAAATTGCCAGTCTGCTTGGGCTGCTGACACACTCGTTAATTCCATTTTCTCTACAACAGTCTTCATGTCCCTCTTCTCAGCGGAGCCAGTTAGACTCTTCAGCAACACCCAGAGGTGCCATTTGATTATCTGAATCTTCTGTGCTGCTTTCTTCCCAGCTTTAGACCCTGTTGAAATCTGAGAAAGTGCATATCATGCATAAAGCAGAGTTGCAATTTAGTTTTAGTTAAAATTTAAATTCCCTGTCTAGAGAAGTTTGACCTCTGGTCCACATTATGTAATGTGGTTTTTCAGAGCAAGATGAATTTTGGCTCTTTTACCTATGGGTGATACGTCTATATTTGCGTAACTCCAAGTATAGAAGGTCCCAAAAAGAGTGGGCACACTTGAGGCAAATGACTCCTGATTTGGTTAGGTGTGATGGGGACACACAAAAGAGCATACAGGAGGTGGACAAAGAGGCTCTGGGCTCCTTAACTGGAAGGAAATGCTGCTGCCTTGATTCGGAATAAAGACCTCAACCACCTGAATTGCTGACAATGTACGCATTTATTTTTTTAGCATCAAAAATGCCTGTTTCTTTTCCATTTTATTCTTTTTGCTGTCTAACTCAATTAAGTAATAATTAAAGCAAAAAAAGAACCTATACTACTGGCAAGCATAGAAAGTAGAAAAATAAGCATACAATAAATATTTGATGAATGAAAAGATATAAAATTTTCAAAGGCCACCCTAGAAATAAGCACATATATTTTGTAGAGATAAAAATAACAAACACAAAGACTCAGTGAGAAAGTCATATGAAAAATACTAGTGGGAAATGGTAAAATAACAGGTGAACTTACTATGAGTATAAAAATAATAATGCCATTCTTCATTGTCAAGGAGAAGAATTGATTCTGGCCCACTAGATGATATGTTATTTTTCTTGTTATAAGCTTTTGCTGTTCTATCCATAATCTTTTATTTGCTCCTTCTACAATCACATGGTGAATTTATTATATTACAACTCCTGAAACCTCTGCCCCACCCCTTACTTGGGGACTAGACAATATCCCTAAGCATGAAACTAGCTCTTGTCCTCAAGGCCCTTACATCGTAGTTGAAAAGAAAGCAAGTAGAGACCAATGCATGGTGTATATAATGTGACCAAGAAAAGAACTCAAGTACATATGTGCTTTAGTGGTGTAACTTAGGAGTCAAATCTTGGGGAAGAAATTAAAACGAATTGTCTCTTATGTTTAGAGGAATCAAATGTGGTGATTGTCCTCATTAATACCTCACAACAACCAGATGAATTTACCAGTCACTAAAAAAGAGCTCAACCTCTGTATTTAGCTCAGGAAAATTGAGAAGAAACAGTTCAATTTCCCATGAGCAAATCATACAGAAATATGCACTTAGATACAATGGTTTAAGATAACAGAATTAACCCCCTTTAGTGAAGAACAGTGTCAAAATTTACAAATAAGAATGAAATTCATGAGTTTATTAAGAAAAATTGGTGGTTAATCATTAATAATTTTGAGACAGTACTATTATGCCGAAACATTAACTAAACTGAGCATTGATGGGAAAAGATGAGTTTAATTAATTTAATTATTAGACTTTACAGTAGGAGCATAAACAGAAACCCAGTCACTACTCTTTTTCCTCCTTGCTGTAGACATACACCTGGAGTGGTCTATGTCTCTGACCTTGTATATACCCTTGAACACCAGATAGCACTACAGAGCACCTATCCTATTTCACTTAGTATTACTCTT